CAGGGCCTGGGCGCTGCCCCTGAGCTCTTTTGCTCAGTGCTGCACCACTTTGAGCCACGGCTCCGTTACCAGTTTTTGAGTCGTTAGAGATCAGAGTCTCACGGACTTTCCTGCCCAGCTGGCTTTGAACCGTGACCCTCAGATCTCAGCCTCCTGAGTAGCTAGGATGACAGACGTGAGCCACCGGCACCTGCCTCCCCGGAGCTCTTCAGGGGAGCCCTTACCCACTTACGGTGGACACCAGAGAACTTCTGGAATATTCTGAACGCCATCCTACTAGGAAAACTAATTTGTCTGCCGTCTCTGCTTGTAGAATAGGAGGTGTGCGGTGAAGTGGTGGTGTGCGTTCTTCCAGGGCCCACGCGGGAGTTTTAGGGAAGGCACAGAGTGGCATCACCTGTGGGGCCTTGTCGGCAAGTTCTCCCCGGGAGGTGGTGGGGAGCTGCGCAGAACAGAAGTGTTGAGTTCTATCTGGTTTGGACAGAGTAGCTGTTGTTGGTTTGAGACACAGCAGTGGGGACTGGCGTGACCATGAGCACAGAAACCCAGGTCTGGCTAGAAGAGGAAGGAAGCCCCTATCTGTGCTGAGCAAGATTGGCCGAGCTTCTGCAGGTTCTGGAGTCCACCCTCAGGTTCTGCTTGGTTTCCAACTGGAAAACTCACCATTCTGCCCCAAAATGTGATTTCTGCTTGATGAGAATGGGGGCTCATTCTCAAGGCCAAGTACCTAGGGAGACCTTGTAGCCTTAACTGAGCTAAACCAGGTCTGCTTCTATGTGGCCCTGCCCCAAGGAGACAGAACTGGCCACCACACTGACCCCAGCCTTGTGGTGTTTGTTTCACCCCCCCATAGGAAGAGTTTAAAGTAATACAGGTGTTCCTCAGGCAGTTCCTGGAGGGCAGTGAGCTTCAACTGGGAGCTCCATTTAGTGACCGGAAGGCAGATCTGTGCTTGGATACACTCAAGTATGCGGATATGGACATGGATGGTTATTCCCTACCTTGAATCCAAAGTGTCCCCAGCTGCAGTACCCAGAAGTGTTTACAGAAGGGCTGTGTGCCTAGGTAGATGGGACCTGGCCTCCTTTACCACATCCCTGCACAGCATCTTGAACCCTGGCTTCCTCCCCCTGTGTAGCACTCTTCTGTTCTCCAGGTAAGCCTCTTACTAGGACAGGGGTGACTCCCGAGATCTGCAGTCTCTGTGAGCTGCAAGAATGGGGAAAATATCTAAACTAACTGGAAAATTTGCAGGTTTTACAATCTGATGGTGTGGTTCCAATGCTTTATGTGGTCATTTTATTCAGTCTTGTTTTAAAAGATTCAAAGGAAGAATGAGCAGGAATCTTAATTACCCCTGGATGGAGAGTATGATTTTTTATTAATTTTTTCTTCTAGTTCTTAAAAGATGAATACATGTTCATAATCAAAAAAAGATGTTTCGGACCTGTTAACTAGTCCATGAGTCACTATCCAATGGATCTAAAAAGAGCCAGTCCTGACCCCACTTACCCTTACTTATAACCAAGGTTGATTGTGGTGCTCAGTCCCAGAAGTTGGCTGGGTACCTGAGAATAAGCACAAGGTCCAAAACTTTGTGCCAGCCAAATGCTGGGGCAGTTGAGCATGACGTTAGGGATGGGGGGCGATGGCCTCAAGGTCAGAGACAAGGTATAGGGGTATCAGATACAAAATTTGAGGAGGCATTCCTTTTTTTTTTTTTTTTTTTGCCAGTCTTGGGGCTTGAACTCAGGGCCTGGGCACTGTTCCTGAGCTTCTTTTGCTCAAGGCTAGTGTTCTACCACTTGAACCACAGCACCATGTCTGTTTTTTCTGTTTACATAGTACTAAGGAATTGAACCCAGGGCTTCATGCATTCTAGGCAAGCACTCTACCTACCACTAAGCCCTATTCCCGGCCTGCCTCCTTCAGTCCTCAGCCTAGTCCTTGGTAACTCTCTTTGGGGGAGGAGGGATAATATTGTAGGTTGAGATCCCAAGAAGCCCTGAGATGAAAGAGGCTAATGGTCACAGTGACCAAAGGCAGTCAGACAACCATTGTGGAAGGCCTAGACTCTGGGTGGACTACGGGGCAGAGCTGCCCCTCAGGTCTTCCTCGTGAGATCACATGAAGAATTTCAGAGCAGCAGCACCCTTGACCATGGATTGTGTCCAGAAGCCCTGGGACAGGCAAGGCCATTCTTGTCTGGCTCTGACAGCCAGGTGAGCTCATCCTCAGAAAGCCAGCAGGAACTGACAGGCCCACTGGCCCACACTTGGATACCTGGCAGTACACTCAAAGTGCTGGGGGCCACATCTCCCAGGAGCAGGCTGTAACACATGACACATGATACACAGGCTACCGAGCCTCCAAAAATGACTGTCAGAAGCTATATGGCAGAGCAGTTTTCGTTCAGAGTCTCTGTTACAGACAAGGTTGAGCTTCTGTGCATTTATACTATTCTGTCCATAACCAGTCAAGTATGTGCCATAATTTCCATTTTATAGTTTTAAAATGCCCAGCACCAGTGGCTCACACCTATAATCCTAGCTACTCAGAAGGCTGAGATCTGAGAATCAAAGTCCAAAGCCAGTCTGGGCAAACAAATCCATGAAGTTTTTATCGCCAATTAATCATAAAAAAGCCAGAATTGCCAGGCACCAGTGGCTCATACCTGTAATCCTAGCTACTCAGGAGGCTGAGAGGCTCCTGGCTACCCCAAACAAAAAATTCTACTAGGCCCCAACTCTTAAAAGTAGCAAAAAGCGGATATGGAAGCATGGCTTAAGTGGTAGAGCACCAGCCAAGTAAGCAAGCCATGTTCCTGAGTTTTGGCCTCGATATGGAAGCATGGCTTAAGTGGTAGAGCACCAGCCAAATAAGCAAGCAATGTTCCTGAGTTTTGGCCTCAGGACTACAAAAAGTGCGGGCGGGGGGAGTACTGAGACAGGGACAGGTGATCCCTGAGAGGATGCGGTGGCTGCCCTTCTGCACCTGCTCTACCTCATGCCCCACACTGATTGCCCTGCTCTTTCCTTGCAGCTGCAGAGCCAGGCCACCCAGAGTTCCCAGGTCAGATGAAACATAGGCAAGTGCATACAGACATCCCCGCTACTGGGACCCAGGGAGGGAGCCCAGGAAATTAGAGCACATAACCAATCTTGTCTTAGGACTTATGAGGGGACTAAAATGGAGAGCCTGTGGTAGATACTGGAAAAGAGCTTGTGATTGTTGACCTAGGATCACAGAACCTTTTGAGAAGATAAGCAGAGTCATACACCTGCCTCCTGCCTTATATAAATGTGTACGTACAGGGGCTGGGAAGGTGGCTCAGTGGTAGAAGCACTTGCCTAGCATGCATGAGGCCCTGGGTTCGATTCCTCAGCACCACATACACAGAAAAAGCAGGAAGTGGCGCTGTAGCTCTAGTGGTAGAGCGCGAGCATTGAGCTTAAGAACTGAGGGACAGCGCCCAGGCCCAGAGTTCAGGCTCCACGACCAAAAAAAAAGTGTACATATGGAATCTTGTGATGGTATGGTAAAAAGTAAAGCCAAGGATGTCATTCACTGACAACTGTGTTTCAGATTGCAGGAGCATTGTACACTAGCCAGTAGCTAGATAGCTAGCAAAAACCTGGAAGTAGAGATATGGCTCAAGAGATAAAACACCAGTCTTGAGTGAAAATGCATACCAAGCAAAATCACAAGGCCCAAAGTTCAAGCCCTAGTAGTACTTGCACACACATGCACACACGAGTGTGTAAAGCACATGAGACCTAGGGAAGTGAGACTGTCTGTCATATAGCCCAGAGAACCTAAGGAGGCACGATGACTGACGTGAAGGTCGACTTACTGTTTGTTATGATGTCCTTAGAGCAGAGGACATAGTAGCTGTGACTGAAGCACTGTATCTTACTAAGGCAAGGTGGACGTAGAGGGGAAACGGGGAACTGCATTGTCATAATGTCTTCCCAACTTTTCTGTTCCTTACATGTATTCCAAAATCAAAAGTTATTTCTAGGGCTGAGAAGGTGGCTCAGTGGTAGAGTGCTTGGCTTGCATGAATGAAGCCCTGGGTTCCATTCCTCAGCACCACATAAGCAGAAAAAGCTGGAAGTGGCGCTGTGTTTCAAGTGGTAGAGCGCTAGCCTTGAGCTGAATTACTCAGGGACAGCCCCCAGGCTCAGAGTTCAAGCCCCACGACCAAAAAAAAAGTTATTTCTCCAATTAAATAAAGAAAACTGTAGGAAGATTGGGAGTATGCTGCAAGAAGTAGATGATGCAGGAATGTCACACTGAGTTCAACCCTAAACACAATGGAGAGAGAACGCGAGTGTCACACCATGAACTCAACCCTAAACACCCGAGAGAGAGAGAGTGAAAGAGTGTGTGTGTGTGTGTGTGTGTGTGTGTGTGTCAGAAATGATCGTGGGGGGGGCTGGGAAGGTGGCCCAGTGGTAGAGCGCTTGCCTTGCATGCATGAGGCCTGGATTCGATTCCAGCACCACATAAGCAGAAGGCCAGAAGTGGTGTTGTGGCTCAAGTGGTAGGGCACTAGCCTTGAGCTGAATAGCTGAGGGACAATGCCCAGGCCCAGAGTTCAGGCCCCATGACCAGCCAAAAAAAAAAAAAAAATGATCACAGGCTAAAGAATGTAATAAAAATGATGCAGAGAGGAAAAGATTGAAAGAAATTAGGGCCTTGTTAGGATAGCACATGGTCCGACACAGTGTTCCAGAGGGGAAAAGGGAGAGAAGGATGTAGGCATAAATAATGGCCAAAGCTTTTCTGAAATTATTGAAGAGTTGTAGACCACAGATCCAAGAATATTTGTAAATCCTGAGTAGGACAAGAATAAAAAAAGCCAACTCGGGTCTATCAAGATCAAATGGCTGAAAAGGACTGATGAAAATTCTAAAAGCAGCAAGAGAAAGAAAATTTGATTCAGAAAAAACAATGATAAGAACAATTTCAGACTTTTTTTTTTTTTTGTCGGTTGTGGGGCTTAAAATCTGAGCCTGGGCGCTGTCTCTGAGTTCTTCAGCTCTCTTACCACTTAAGCCACAGTACCACTTCCAGTTTTCTGGTGGTTAATTGGAGATAAGAGTCTCACTAGGCTGGGAATGTGTCTTAGTGGTAGAGTGCTTGCCTTCAGCAAAAAGAAGCTCAGGGATAGTACCTAGGCCTGAGTTCAAGCTCAAGGACTGGCAAAAAAAAAGGTCATACTTTCCTGCCTGGGCTGGCTTTGAACCATGATCCTCAGATCTCAGCCTCCTGAGTAGTTAGGATGACAGGCGTGAGCCACTGGTGCCTGGCCCATCATAGCTCTTAAAATGAAAGTCCGGTTCCACATTCATAACTGATTGAATTCACCAAATCTACAGAAGGGGGTAGGGGTTAGCCCAGCGCCAGTGGCTCACACCTGTCATCCTATCTATTCAGGAGGCTAAAATCTGAAGAGCGTAGTTGGAAGCTACCCTGGGCAGGAAAGTCTCTGAGAATCTTCTCTTCAGTTCATCACCAAAAAGCCAGAATTGGAGCTGTGCTGTGGCTCAAATGGTAGAGCAAAAAAGCTAAGCAAGAGGGCAGGACCTTGAGTTCAAGCCCCCTTAATAGTACCAACAAAACAAAAACCAAAAAGAGCAACCTCATCATCTGCTTCTTTTTTGGGGGTCTGTGGTGGTTCCTGAACTCTGGGCCTGGGCGCTGTCCCTCAGCTCTTCAGCTTAAGGCTGGTCTCTCCACTTGAGCCACAGCACCACTTCCTGATGAAACTCAGCAGAAGAGTGGAGGGGGTATTTTTCTAATAACATGCTGACATGCTTGATTGTAAAGATATAGAGTGTCTACTTAATTTTGGATTGTAATTGGAGTATGAGAAATAGATTTGGGCTGGGCACTGGTGGCTCACGCCTGTCATCCTAGCTACTCAGGAGGCTGAGATCTGAGAATCATGGTTCAAAGCCAGCCCTCGCAGGAAACTCAGTGAGATTCTTATTTCCTATAAATCACCAGAAAACCAGAAGTGGCACTGTGGCTCAAGTGGTAGAGCGCTCGCCTTAAGCTGAAGAGCCCAGGGACAGCTCCCAGGCCCAGAGTTCAAGCCCCACAACCGACAAAAAAAAAAAAAAAAGATTTGAGGCTGGGAATGTGGCTTAGTGGTAGAGTGCTTGCTTAGCATGCATGAAGCCCTGGTTTTGATTCCTCAGCACCAGATAAACAAAAAAGAGCCAGAAGTGGCACTGTAGCTCAAGTGGTAGAGCACTAATCTTGAGCACAGAGAGGCTCAAGGATGGTGCCCCGGCCCTAAGTTCAAGCCCCAGGACTGGCAAGAAAAAAATATTTCATACAGATTGAAAAAGACCATCTCCATTTATAGATAACATGATCATTTACTTCAAAAATCCGAAAAAAAAGTCTACAAGTTAATAGAATGAAGAGGTAAATTCACTGAGATTAGCTGGGTGCAGGTGGCTCACACCTGTCATCCTTGCTACTCAGGAGGCTGTGACCTGAGGATCCTGGTTAAAGCCAGCCTGGGCAGGAAAGCGTGAGATTCTTTTTTTTCTTTTCTTTCTTTTTTTTTGTCAGTCGTGGGGCTTGAACTCTGGGCCTGGGCACCGTCTCTCAGCTCTTCAGCTCAAGGCAAGCACTGTACCACTTGAGCTACAGTGCCACTTCCGGTTTTCTGGTGGTTTATTGGAGATAGGAGTCTCACGGTCTCTCCTGCCCGGCCTGGCTTTGAACCGAGATCCTCAGATCTCAGCCTCCTGAGTAGCTAGGATTACAGGCGTGAGCCACCAGCGCCCGGCAAGTGTGAGATTCTTATCTCCAATAAACCACCAAAAAGCTTGAAATGGAGCTGTGGCTCAAGTGGTAGAGCATTAACCTTGAGTAGAATGACCAAGGGACAGTGCCCAAGCCCTGAGTTCAAGCCCCAGGGCTGGTACCAAACAAAAACAAAAAACTGTAATCACACAATCGAGGAATGATATACATAAGTGAGTTATTTGTGTACTAGCAACGAATGATTACAGGGTGGAGTGCTTACAGTAATATCCAAAAGCCTGTGGGAGTCGGCGGCTGCCTGTGAGTCGGCTGCCTGTGAGTAGGTGAGGAGACGAGCCGAGTGCTCTGACAGAGGGGTGAGCTGTGACTCTTGAGGAAGGCCACAGAGGCAGTGTCTCACCCCTGCCAAGAAAGGGGTTGAAACCCACGGCAGAGGACTCCTCCTGGCCTCTTTTTTTATTTTATTTTATTTTTTGTTGATTGTGGGCTTGAACTCTGGGCCTGGGTGCTGTCCCTCAGCAAATCAGCTCAAGATGAGCGCCATACCACTTGAGTTACGGCGCCAATCCAGCTTTTTCTGAGGAATCAAACCCAGGGCCTCATGCATGCAAGGCAAGCGAGCATTCTACCACTGAGCCATCTTCCCAGCCCCTCCTCCTTGCCTCTTACAGCTTGTAGTATCTGCCTTTGGCCTTTGCCATTCCTGTGCTTTTAGCTGCCTGACTCTAGTCTCTGCCTTTGTCATCACATGACATTCTCTTTTGTGTCACTGTCTTAATAAGAACATTAATCCTACTGGATTAGGGGACCGCTCTATTCCAACATGACCCCATATTATCTAATTACATCTGCAACAGCTCTACTTCCAAATAAGGTCACGTTCTGAGGTACCAGGGGTTAGGACTTGAACACATTTTTTTTCCTTTTTGGAAAAACCCATAGGCTAAACCTATAGTACTACACAGCATACATACCGGGAAAGCATAAGACAAAAAGATGCCAGCAGCTGAAATGGCCGAGCTGTAATACTATCTATCTTGTCAAAGACTAAAGCGGCAACTGTGGAAATACTTCAAGAGCTAGAAACTGGTGGCTCACACCTACAATCATAGCTATTCTATTCAGAGGCTGAAGTTTGTAAGATTGCAGCTCAAAGCCAGCCTGGGCAGAAGAATCTTAAGAAAGTCCATCTCCAGCTAAGTAGCAAAAAGCTGAGTTTGGAGGCATGGTTCAAGTGGTAGAGCATGAGCCAGGAGTGTGAGATGCTGAATGTATTCATTTATAAAGTGAGTATAAGCAAAGTATTTTTGTTTTTTGTTTTGTTTTTTCTCAGCCATGGGTCTTGAACTCTAGGCCTGGGCGCTGTCCCTCAGCTCTTCAGCTCAAGGCTAGTGCTCTACCACTTGAGCCACAGCATCACTTCCGGTTTTCTGGTGGTTAGTTGTAGATAAGTGTCTCGTGGGCCTGGTGTTGGTGGCTCACACCTGTAATCCTCAGGCCTGTAGCTCAGGAAACTGAGATCTGAGGATTGCAGTTCAAAGCCAGTCCAGGAAGGAAAGTCTGTGAGACTTATCTCCAATTAACCACCAGAAAACCAGAAGTGGTGCTGTGGCTTGAGTGGTAGAGCACTTGCCTTGAGCTGAAGAGCTCAGGGACAGCACCCAGGCCCAGAGTTCAGACCCTACAATCAACAACAACAACAAAAGTCTAACAGACTTTCTTGCCTGGGCTGGCTTTGAACCATGATCCTCAGATCTCAGCCTCCTAAGTAGCTAGGGTTACAGGCATGAACCATCAGTGCCCAATTAAGCAAAGTTTAAAAAGGAAACATAATATGCAGGTAATAACATATTGAAATTTCAGAACCAAAAATTAGGGTAGCTAAAGAACCCTGAAGCGAGTCAGCAGCAAAGGGGAGGAGATGGAGGAAAGTCGGTGGGCCTGGCAAAACTGTCAGAGAACTGAGAAGAGTAGACAGAGGCTCGGAAATTGTGTCGGAGTTCCCAGGAGTCTGTCCCATGTGTTCAGAGTTCCAGAAGGAAAGTAAGAAAACAGGAAAAAGCAGTGACTGGAAATGACATATGTCTAATTTCAGTGCTTGCCTAGCATTTGCTGGTCACTGGTGGCTGGTACTTGTAATCTGAGCCACATGGAAGCTAGGGATTGGGAGGATTGTGGTTCAAGACCAGTCAAGGCCAAACTAGGGAGAGGACATCTTAACCAGCAGCTGGTGTGGCACAGCATGGGCCATCCCTACCATAGCGGGAGTATAAAACGGAGGAGGAAGGCTGCCATCTAGGCCAGCCTAAGCATGAGCGTAAGACCCTATTCCAAAAATAACTAATGCAAGCCAGGTGCCAGGGGCTCACCCTATGACCCTAGCTTCCCAGGAATCTCAGGTGCAGGGATTACAACTCAAAGCCAGTTGGGCAGGAAAGTCCATGATGATCTTACTTCCAATTAACCACCAAAACCCATGAAGTGGAGCTGTGGTTCAAGTGGTAGAATGCTAGCCTTGAATGAAAAAACTAAGGGACAGTGCTCAGGCCCTGAGTCCAATCCCCAGTATACAAAAATAACTAAAGCAGCCAGGCGCCACTAGCTCACGCCTGTCATCCTAGCTACTCAGGAGGCTGAGATCTGAGGATCATGGTTCAAAGCCAGCCTGGGGAGAAAGTCTATGAGACTCTTACCTCCATCCAATTAAACACGAGAAAACAGGAAGTGGTGCTGTGGCTCAAGTGGTAGAGCGCTCGCTTTGAGCTGAAGAACTGAGGCCCAGAGTTTAAGACCCACAACCTACAAAAAAGAAAAAAAAAGCTAAGGGACAGTGCCCAGGCACCAAATTCAAGCTATAGGACTAGCACCAAGGGGGAAAAATGCCTCTAAATGCTCCCACAAACATCTCTACAGAAAAGGTTTTTGACACTGGAGAGCAAAACCACCTTGCTTGTGAAGCTTCAGTGAGCTAGCTTCCAGACAGCCAGTGTTCGCACTACAGTTGCAGCAATGGCTTTGCAAGGCTGTGCAGGAAGGGGAACGGCAGGCAGGTCATGTGCGGAGCTTGTTGCTCGCGGTGAGCTGCAGCCGCTCTGGAGGAGGCGCCTTGCTCTATTTGGATGCCGGCTCAGCTCCTGCCACTCTTCTGGTCCTTGGAGTCCACAACCCCACTTTCTAATGTTTAGCTTTGCCACACTGCGTTGAGAACAGTTGTAGTGCTAACCATGGGCTCTTTCTGCTTTTTTCTGCCCATGTTGTTCCCATCCCCAGCCCGAAGAAGCCTGTTCCCCCTCTCCTTTGCCATGGGTACCCGTCAAAGTGGCCTGTTGCCCCCGAGAGACCTTCCCACCCTGACCCGCCCCTCTGTGTGGCTCCTGGGCTGCATTCTAGAAGGGGGTGGCTGAGAAGGGAAGCTGTGCCAAGAGCGAGGTTGTGTTTCTGCACACTGTGTATCTTGCATTTGAGACGTGGAGCCCATTTCCTGGGCTGCCTCAATTCGGAATCTTAGCCATTCTTAAGGAAAATTTGCTAATGAAGGCTAAATGCCCATCCCTTCTAGGGAATGGCCACAGTGTTGTGGTCATTCATGAATGGAAACCCAGCAACCAGGAACTGCTGGGGAAGAAGACCCTGCCTCTGCTGTGTGGCCCATAGCCAGGGTGCAGACCAGGGAAGGTCTTGGGCTGGGCTCCACCTCCCATTGGCCACGTTGCCGCTCTGTACTCAGGGAGGGTGGCTCAGGTCACGGGCAGCTGTCCTCACTGCTGCAACACGACCCCCCCTCTCCCCACCCCCTCTCCTCACAGGGCGGGAACAGCTTCCATGTGTTTGACCAGGGCCAATTCGCCAAGGAGGTGCTGCCCAAGTACTTCAAGCACAACAATATGGCCAGCTTCGTGAGGCAGCTCAACATGTGTGAGTGCCCACCAAGAGGGTGGTTTTCCAGGGGGTCTGGACAGCTGAGCTGTGGCCTGGGTGGCAGACTCCCAACACAGTGGAGTCCTGGGTGAACCAAGACATGGCCTTGAGCCTCCTCCCACCCCACCCCGCCCAGCAGCTGAGAATGTCCTGTTTCTGGAGGAACCCCAGGGAAGAATATGCAGCCCTAGCTATACTGGCCCACACTAGAGGGGCAGCGTGTGAAGCAGAGGCAAAACCACTGCAGAAACAGGTGGACTCTGGCCAGAGCTGCACACAGCTCTTCCCCAGGAGAGCCCCTCACCCGCCTCGGCAGTGGCTAGGCTGGAGGGTCTGGTCCCCAGCACTTAGACAGACCTGCCCTCCCCTGCCCCTGCATGTACAGATGGCTTTCGGAAAGTGGTCCACATTGAGCAGGGTGGCCTGGTCAAACCAGAGAGAGATGACACCGAGTTCCAGCACCCGTGCTTCCTGCGGGGCCAGGAGCAGCTCCTAGAGAACATCAAGAGGAAAGTAACCAGTGTGAGTCACCGGCCCTGAGTGCCGCCCCCCTTCCTGAAGGGGCCTGCAGCCACAGGCTGTGCCTCTGACCCCACTCCACTCGGCCCTTCCCCAGATATCCACGCTCAAGAGCGAAGACGTGAAGATCCGCCAGGACAGCGTCACCAAGCTGCTGACAGACGTGCAGCTGATGAAGGGGAAGCAGGAGTGTATGGACTCCAAGCTCCTGGCCATGAAGCAGTAGGTCCTCCTTTGTAGCTGGCTCCGGAGTGCTGCGGGCTCAGCTGGGGGCAGGGCTCCCCTCTGACAGAGCCTCCACACAGCGTGGAGTGGGAGGCCCCCTGCATCCACATGTGCCAGGCTGTCAGTTCCAGGAAGCTCGCCTCCACTTGGTTGGGTTTTTTTTTTGGGGGGGGGGGTCCGGTCGTGAGGCCTGAACTCTGGGCCTGGGCGCTGTCCCTCAGCTCTTCAGCTCAAGATTAGCGCTCTACCACTTGAGCCACAGCGCTTCTTCTGGCTTTTTTCTTTCTTTTTTTTTTTTTTTGTTTGCTTATGTGGTGCTGAGGAATCGAACCTCATGCATGGGTCTCAGGCATGCAAGGCAAGCGCTCTACCACTGAGCCACCTTCCCAGCTCCTCCATTTGGTTTTTATTTCTTTTTCTCAACTCCTTCTTCCTTCTCCATTCTTCTTCCTTCTTCTTCCTTCTTCTTCCCTGTCCTGGAGCTTGAACTCAGGGCCTGGGCACTATCCCTGAGCTTCTATTGCTCAATGCTAGTACCACTTGAGCCTCAGTACCACTTCCAGCCCTTTCTCTGTGTGTGGTACTGAGGAATTGAAGCCAGGGCTTCATGCATGCTGGCAAGCACTCTACCACTGAGCCACCTTCCCAGCCCTGCCCTTGGTTTTACAGCAAGGGCCAGCTGGTTCTCCTCCTTGAGGAGGGGCTTGTGGAAGCTGGCCAGGCCGTCCTCAGGCACAGGGTCTGAGTGCACACACTATGCGCTGGAGGCCTCCTTGAGGAGGAGCTTGTGGAAGCTGGCCAGGCCGTCCCCAGGCACAGGGTCTGAGTGCCCACACTATGCGCTGGAGCCCTCCTTGTGGAAGCTGGCCAGGCCGTCCTCAGGCCTGGCGCCTTTGCTTCCGTTTTCAGTGGCTCCCACTGTCCCAACGTTACTCAGCACAGGGCGTCAGCACTGCCAGCTGCCTGCACCCCAGACCTGGGGACAGCGAGCAACTCAAGCTCTTTACCAAACATTCGTGCTGCAAGTGTGTAGCCACTCAAGGACCTGTTCTGAGAACACCCCAGCAGGCAGCCTAACACGTGTATGGCAATGAGAAACCCGCACGAGGGCTCTTCTGGCCCATTTTGGGGCCAGAATCACCCTCAGCTCGTGAGAAGTCCTAACACCTGTGTGGTAGAAGGCCCTGGCTCAGACCACAGCAAAAAGCACTGGCTTTGTGATACCTACAGATTGCTAGGTGGACGTGGCCTTTGTCAGGGTGTGGCAAGAGGATCAGCTCTGTCGGGAAAGCAGGCAGGAGCACGTCTTTGCAGCCCACCAGAGCAGCTAACGTGCATTATGGCCAGGTGCTTATGGCTCATGCCTGTAATCCTACTCAAGAGGCTTGAGAGCTGAAGATTGCAGTTCAAAGCCAGCCCAGGCAGATACATCTACAAGGTTCTTACCTCTAATTAACCAGCAAAAGGCCAGAAGTGATACTCTGGCTCTACCACCTTTAAGCAAAAAAGCCAGAGCAAGAAGACCTGACTTTAAGCCCCAGTGTGAGCACACACACACCAAAAGATGAAAGTATGTGGCAGTACGTGCCCAACGGGAGCTGTCCTCCTGCAGCTCATTCCCCCTTCCAGGCCGTGGAGACGTGGAGCAGGCAAGGCCACCCCTGAGAAACAGGGCACTCCTACGTGCTGCTCTGCAGCCTTCTGAAGCCTGGTCCCGTAGGCTCCCATGGGGACAAAGATAGCTGGTGGTTGAGGGCTGAGCTCCAAGAAGGCCGAGAGGATTCAGCTAGCATTGATGCTAAGATCTTGGGGGTTCAATAGGCAAGCCTTTCCAGTATTCTAACAGTCACCATCAAACTCCAGTAGCCTTTTCTTCCACTCTGGTACTGGGAAGTTCAAGTCCTTGCTCAGTCCTTGCTATATCGCTTGTTGTTTTTTTGTTTTGTTTTTGTTTGTGTTTGTTTGGTTTGTCTTGTGAGTTGTGGGGCTTGACCTCAGAGCCTGGGCGATGTCCCTGAGCTCTTTTTTTTTTTTTTTTTTTTTTTGTCGGTCGTGAGGCTTGAACTCTGGGCCTGGGCGCTGTCCCTCAGCTCTTCAGCTCAAGGCGAGCACTCTATCACTTGAGCTACAGCGCCACTTCCGGTTTTCTGGTGGTTTATTGGAGATAGGAGTCTCACGGTCTCTCCTGCCCGGGCTGGCTTTGAACCGAGATCCTCAGATCTCAGCCTCCTGAGTAGCTAGGATTACAGGCGTGAGCCACCAGCGCCCGGCTTCCCTGAGCTCTTTTGCTCAAGTCTAGTGCTCTACCACTTTGAGCCACAGAGCCACTTCCGGTTTTTGTTTTGTTTTGTTTGGGTCCAGTCGTGGGGCCTGAACTCTGCGCCTGGGCGCTGTCCCTCAGCTCTTCAGCTCAAGGCGAGCGCTCTACCACTTGAGCCAATGGTGCCACTTCCGGCTTTTTTCTGCTTATATGGTGCTGAGGAATCGAACCCAGGGCCTCAGGCATGCAAGGCAAGCGCTCTACCACTGAGCCACCTTCCCAGTCCCCCACTTCCGGTTTTTGACGATTTAGATATGAGAGTTTCACAGGGACTTTTCTGCCCCAGCTGGCTTTGAACCAGTCTTCAGATCTCAGCCTCCCAAGTGCAAGGATTACAGGCGTGAGCCACCAGAGCTACACTTTCACGTCCAGCTTTTTCCTTGTTAAAGATCAAAGTTGGGTTTCATTGAGGTTTGAACATCAGTCCTGAGATCTCAGCCTCCTGAATAGCTAGTTCAGGTATGATCACTGGCGCGTGACTCCACTGGGCCTCTTTTGTGTGTGATGTGCCAATCCTGGGGCTTGAACTCGGGCTGGACACTGTCCATGAGCTTTTTTGCTCAAGGCTAGCATTCTACTTGAGTCACAGCTCTTCTTCCAGCTTTTTTGGTACTTAATTGGAGATAAATGTCTCACCGACTTCCCTGCCCAAGCTGGCTTTGAACCGCAGTCCTCAGATTTTAACCTCCTGAGTAGCTAGGATTTTACAGGTGTGAGCCAGCAGCACCCAGCCATTTTCAGATTTTTTTTTTTTTTGGCTCAAGTATTTTATTTTTATTGTGAAAATACCATGTAAAGGGATTAGAATTACATGGGCAAGGTAATGAGTACATTTCTTATCAAGCATTGTTGCCTCCTCCTTTGTTTCCCCTTCCCATCTCCCACCCACCCCCATTTTCAGATTTTTTAATTGGAAATTAAATTAATTGGAAATAAGAGTTTTACAGACTTGCCAGGTGCTGGTGGCTCACGCCTGTAATCCTAGCTACTCAGGAGGCTGAGATCTGAGGATCGCGGTTCAAAGCCAGCCCGGGCAGGAGAGACCGTGAGACTCCTATCTCCAATAAACCACCAGAAAACCAGAAGTGGCACTGTAGCTCAAGTGGTAGAGTACTCACCTTGAGCTGAAGAGCTGAGGGACAGCGCCCAGGCCCAGAGTTCAAGCCCCACAACCGACCAAAAAAGAGTTTTATAGACTTTCCTGTCCAGACTGTCTTTGAACCTGGATCCTCAGATCTCAGCCTCCTGAGTAACTAGGATGACAGGTGTGAGCCACTGGCACCTATCTCCCCTGGAAACACAGTGGAGCTGAGGACAAGGATGCCAGCAGACCCTCACCTGGCCCAGCCCTACCTCTGGTCCTCGTCCCCTCCCTACTCTCCTCTGTACTTTGCTGGGGGTAGAGGATGTCTGCAGGGGCTGTCCTGGCGCCTGGGCCCCACTGACTCTGGTGTGTTGCAGTGAAAACGAGGCCCTGTGGCGAGAGGTGGCCAGCCTGCGGCAGAAACATGCGCAGCAGCAGAAAGTTGTCAACAAGGTAGGCAAGGCTGGTGGCAGGTGGGTTTCCCCACAGGGTGCCAGGGTGACTGTGTCCTTTCTGCCCTACAGCTCATTCAGTTCCTGATCTCACTGGTGCAGTCAAACCGGATCCTGGGGGTGAAGAGAAAGATGTGAGGCGCTGGGAATGCCCGCACTGCTGGCTCGAGCCCTGGGCCCTCTGTCTCCTCTGCTTGCTGTGTCCTGGGCACCCTCAAGGTCCAAGGCAGGCAGCTGACTCTTGCTCCCTCCCTGCAGCCCCCTGATGTTGAGTGACAGCAGCTCAGCACACTCTGTGCCCAAGTATAGCCGGCAGTACTCCTTAGAGCATGTTCATGGCCCAGGCCCGTACTCGGTGAGCCACAGGCTTCTCGGGACTGCCACCAGATGTGCAGAGAGGGTGCTGTGTGGCAGAGGCTGCCACAGGCTCACTCTGCGTGTGGCCTCGGCCTCTGATTGCAGGCTCCATCCCCAGCCTACAGCACCTCCAGCCTCTACACCCCAGAGGCCGTCACCAGCTCTGGACCCATCATCTCCGACATCACCGAGCTGGCACCTGCCAGCCCCTTGGCCTCCGTAGGCAGGAGTTTAGACACAAGGTGAGCGTGACACTTGCAGCCAGGGTGGAGCTGGGAGTGGGCAGGACTGCTGGAGCTCCTGCTAACGTCCCTGTGTGTCCAGGACTCTGTCCAGCAGCCCCCCGGTGCGTGTCAAGGAGGAGCCCCCAAGCCCACCTCAGAGCCCCCGAATGGAGGCAGCAAGGCCTGGACACCCACCCTCTGTGGACACCCCTTTGTCTCCGACTGCCCTCATCGATTCCATCCTGCAAGAGAATGAGCCTGCTGCTGCGGCCGCCACCACCGCCCCCGTGGACACCAGAGCCCACAGCCCCGCACACTTACCCTCCACCCCTGAGAAGTGCCTCAGTGTAGCCTGCTTGGACAAGTGAGTGCTGTCCCTGGACACCCGGCCCGAGCCTCTGCTCAGCCCACTCTGGCTGGAGGGCTGGCACTGGGTGGCTCAAAAAACCCCATGCCCTGAGTATATGAGGATTGGTTGGTGTAAGCAGGGTGAATTTATTCCCCAAAAGAGCTGGAGCTAGGGAAAATGAGTACCAGGAGCCAAGCACATGTGGTAGTGCAGGCAGAGTGGCCTTGTCTGGTGTCCCGGGAGTCCTGGCCCTCTGGACCCCCCTTGACACTGCCCTCCCCCCCCCCGCCCCCCTCAGCTGCGTAAGCTACAAGGTCTTTGCATCTGTCAGGCTTCCTAAACCTGGGGCCGGAGATGGTGAGCCAGGGCCCCCCTCCCCAGCACTCAGCCAAAACCGAGAGGCTGAGTGAGCGAGGACGGCGGGCTCCGACCCCCGGCCCCCGCCTGCAATGGGGGGCTCTTGTCTTTGTATCTTGCAGTTTGGCTCGTGCTCCACAGATGTCTGGGGCCGCCCGCCTCTTCCCCTGCCCCTCCTCTTCCTTTCTGCATGGCCGAGTCCAGCCAGGGTTAGCGCTGCCCCCGGGAAGGGAGGAGGGCTCTGCCAGAGCTCAGGCCCCTCCAGCATAGCCCAGACATCAACTTGGCACGGCACTACTCTTCTACCTGGGGGGGGGCCTCTTCTCCCACGCCGCTGGGCGTGGTCCAGCAGCTGTGGTCAAGACCTGGCCCCACCTGGCCTGGCCATCAGTGCCGGGCAGGATCTCAGGAGTGGTGGCCCCAGGCCACCCACAGAACCAGCCCAATGGCTTTACCCTTGGTTCAGGCAACCCAGAGCCATGTGCCCTCCAAGCAGCCCTAGGGAGACACAACAGACCACCCCCATCAACTCAGCCTCTCTTCCCTCCTCACTGCCTCCTCACTAACAGTGGCTAGATGCTGCCCCCCCCCTCCCGTCCCTCCCGCCATCCCCACCCCCAACCATTCCCAGCCAGGCCCCCAGGGCCTCCAGCAGCCAGACTCCCTGCGGGCCAGGCTGCCCTCACCTCAACCGCCCTGGAGGACCTCAAGCTCACCAGTGCCTCTGCCAGCTGCTGCACCCCATCCTACAGCCCATGCGGACCGTCTGGAGTGGCCTTGTGGGGGGGACACACCAGAGGGGAGCCCTTCTCCAGCCCAGGTGTGGCTGGGTGGGGGCGCCGGTTCACCTTCCCATTCACTCTGGGTCAGGAATGAGCTCAGTGACCACTTGGACGCCATGGACTCCAACCTGGACAACCTACAGACTATGCTGACCAGCCATGGCTTCAGTGTGGACACCAGTGCCCTGCTGGACGTGAGTCTGGTCTCCCCCACCCACCCTTCCCCGCCCATCCACCGGCCAGCCCTGACTTCCCTCCCTCCTTGGCAGCTGTTCAGCCCCTCGGTGACCATGCCCGACATGAGCCTGCCTGACCTTGACAGCAGCCTGACCAGCGTGCGTAGGCGGGCAGGGTGGGGGGTGGGGGAGCTCGGCAGCAGCCCTCACTGGACCCCTCTCCTACACAGATCCAGGAGCTCCTGTCTCCCCAGGAGCCCCCCAGGTCTCTTGAGGCCGAGAACAGCAACCCTGACTCAGGTGAGTTGAGCCCTGAGCCCCACTCCCCCTCCCTTCATCCACTTCCCCTCTTCCCCCCACTCCACCATCCTGATCCTTGCCCCCCAGGGAAGCAGCTGGTACACTACACTGCGCAGCCCCTCTTTCTGCTGGACCCTGATGCTGTGGACACGGGGAGCAGCGACCTGCCTGTGCTCTTTGAGCTGGGGGAGGGATCCTACTTCTCTGAAGGGGATGACTACACGGATGACCCCACCATCTCCCTGCTGACGGGCTCCGAGCCCCCCAAAGCCAAGGATCCCAGTGTGTCCTAGAGGCCCCAGGCAGCCCGTGGCCTGCTCTCACCTACCCCCAGGGTAGGGCCGGCCCCGGGAAGGCATGCGGTCCTGGGGCAGCCTTCACTGCCTCAGTAGCTCAGAGAGGAGGCTAGGGGCCGGGCTGTGTCTCAGGTCTATAGGAGCACCTCGGAGCCCACACACCTGCTGCCTTCACCCCAGCCCTGCGTCCCCTGGCTTGGTTGGGGCTTGCTTCATAGCCACACTCGGACTTGGCCCTGAGGGTTGTTCATAGAAGTGTATTTTGGATTTTTATATGAGGGTCCTCCTTTTCCCCTTCACAGAGAATATATACACACAAATGGACAGACAAGATAGCAGAGCTCTATAAATGGACATGCTCTACGCTGTGTATTCTATGTGCTTCCTCGTGTTGGTCACTGGACGGGGCTGTGTGACCTTGGGAGGCCCCACCTGATGCCACAGACTGTTAGGTGCTCACAGCTTTTTATTGAGGGGACCCTGGTTACCATAAGACAACTCTTTCCCGCCCCCCCCCCCCAAGGATGTATTTTCCCAAGGTGCATCCATTCAGGGCAGGGGGCACAGGTGGCACATGGGCTGTCATCTCAGCAGAGCCACCTCATGTATGTCCAGGAAGCGTTAGACTGGCTCTGGCCCTGCTCCTGCTAGCAGACATTTGCATGGGTTCTCGACACCAGATGGGGAGGTGGCCTCAGCCAGGGGGCATTTGAACATCCCTGATCCCTGCATCAAGCTCTCCTGATTAAGAGCGGGGAGGGGAGGCAGGCCCCCTACTGTCCCAGCAAGTCTGAGTTATGGCCATCGGCGGCGGGGAGGTCAGAGATGCTGTCTGTACACGAACATGTTTGCAGGACTCCAAGAAGAGAGCTCTCAGACAGTCCCCTCCTCCCCAACACCGCCGTGCTACAGGAGACAAGGCACCATAGATGGGGGCTAGGCAGGCTGCTGACAGGGCAGCCCCCCGCCCTGCAGATAGCCATGTTACTGGACCTCAGACAAAAGTTTTTAAATGACCACCAAAAAAAAACCGGTGGGAGGGGAGGGGAAACGGCTAGGATCCCTGGGCTACCTCCTACTCTGGCCTCTGCTCCCTCCCTGACTTGGTAGGACTAGGCAGGGTCTAGGGACAAGGCACCCCTGATGTCACAGGGCTGTCCCCCTTTGCCAGGAAAGCTACACATAAGTAAGGGGAGGAGGGGAGGGTTCCAGGAAGCAGGAAAAATTACTGCTCTGCGGGGTGCCTAGTCAGCCCCCTGCACTGAGCAGTCCAACTGTGGGGAACCCACGAGACTGACGAGCCAGGCAGGTTCATCTTCCATTGGGATTAGCAGGCCAAGTTGTACTTCGTCTGATCTTTCCAAAACCACAAGGTGGCCCAGGAACTCTAGCTGCAATGGTTTGCCACTTCTGTAGCTAAGCAGTCGTTCACACAACCCAGAAGAACATACGTTTACACATCCACCAACACCACAACCTTGGCCAAGAATCTTGAGCATGTCCGGGCTTCCAGCCTGTGGGACAGCTACCCACAGCACTGCCACTCACCAGGGTGGGATGGGCCCTCACCCACTGATACCCCCACCCCACCCCCACCAGGCTGAGGGAGGTCGCCTTGGACAGCACTTTATTGACACCCTTGGTCCCTGGGCAGCACAGACCTAGCACTGGCTCCCGCCAGCTGGTGTGGTGTCACCACCCCTAAGGAGAACAGCGGGGCGCCCCATAGGGGCGGAAGGCCTCCTGAGGCAGGAGCAGGCCTCAGCGCTCTGGGCCGAGGTGCCCTGCGCAGGTTCAGGCTCCTGCCGTGGGGGCCTCGCAGTGGAGCACGTAATAGTCGTGGACATACATGAGCACGGCCACCGGCTGCCCGATGATGAGCGTCAGCCACACAGCCGCGTTGCCGTAGTTGCCCTGAAAGAAGTTGCCCACAAGCCAGGCCAGTGGGACCTGGGGGCATGTGGGGCCAAGGTCAGTTGGCTAGAGTGGCGCCCGGGAGGGCTGCTGGGTGAGGTAGCCAGCCGGGGCTGCTCACCTGAGCCATCATGGCGGTGAATGCCCAGAGGCGGAACATGCGCAGGGGGATGCTGACCAGGTACTGGAACAGGAAAAGGGGGTTCGAGTCTCAGCCGTGGGCCACGTCCGTACCCAGAGACAAGGCAAAAGAAAAGAGCAGAGCCCTCACCTCGTGGAAGAAGGCCGAAGCCATGAACACCCCTGCCCTGGCCAGCCACTTGCTGCTGCCCCGTCGGAGCAGAGGCTTGTAAAAGTGTCTAGAGCAAACAGAGGCCAAAGGTGAGGCCCTGGGAAGTGGCCTAGGTCAACACCCACCCCCACGCGCGCACAGACCACCCACCTGCTGCACCACTTATGTACTGGGATGTTCCAGTTCTGCCAGAAGTAGGTGACAGACTCAGAATTCCTGGGGTCAAAGAGACAGGGTGAATAGAGCTCAGGGGCCTGCCCAGGCCCCAACGGGAAGACCGCCCTCCAGCTGCCCACCACCAGTCCCTGTAGAACTCCCGGTCTCCAAACTGCATAAGCTCCGCCACTGCATTCAGGCAGGAATGGAAGAGCCAGTAGAAGAAGATGAGCCAGATGAGGTGGTTGGGGACCTGTGGGGAAGGGCTCCAGGTTCCAGAACACCACACACACCTGTCCCTCAGGCCCACCTCGCTGCAAACCACAGGCACTCACCGCCAGCTTGAGGAGGCGCTCTATGATGCGTGAGTACTCCATGTCCTGTGGAAACAGGCTGCCTCAGCCGGACAGCTCCTCCCCCACTCCTACCCCCTCCAGCGGGGGACCTAGGCTCACCTTGAAGGTCTTCATGGAGTTCTGGATGGTAGGTACCATCCACTGCAAAGGAAGGTTCCACGTGTGGGTCTCCAGTTGTGCTGCGCCTCCCCACGCCCCACTCGCCCCACTTACCTGCTGTATCAGCCCCACCTGGAGCTGGATGAAGAACAGCTGGGGGGAAAGGAGAGCAGCCACCTGAGACCGCAGCCGCGGCCCCCACACCAGGCCCTAAGAGACTCCTCCCTGTCCCCAAGCCTCACCATCTCAAGGACCCGCAGCCGCGGCCCCCACACCAGGCCCTAAGACTCCTCCCTGTCCCCAAGCCTCACCACCTCAAGGACCCGCCGCAGCAGAAACCGCTTTCGGATTCGGGGGGAGCGGGGAAAGTTGAGCTCATAACACAGAGTTGGGGCAAAAATGAAGTAGTAGAGATCTGGAAGGGAAGGGAAGAGGTGAGAGCCAAACCTGCCTGATCTTGCCTCTGGCCCTTGCCCTGGGCCGGCCCTGCCCGCTGGGCCCTCACCCCGGTAGGTCAGGTTGTCTGGGTAGCTCACAGCGCTCTGTGTGGCAGTCCCATTGGCCTTCTTTGCTGCAGAGGCTGCAAGTAAAGCCCACGTAGGGGAGGATGGGGGGCCATGCTGCTTAGGCCCAGCCCCAGGTAAGCCCCCAGACTCAAATCCTACCAGCCTTAGCCTTGGCCCTGTGCTGACGGCACCACAGGTTGACATCCCGGTAGGAGAAGAGCTTGAGGAAGAGGATGGAGTACGACGCCAGAGCCAACACGGAGCCCACTGCAGGAGAGGCATCTTAGCCCACAGCCACCCATAAACAATAGGAACCACAGAGTAGGGGCTCAGCCTCAGAGACCCATGCACCCCAGGGACCGCATCCACCAGACTGAGCCTGGAGCTGCCCCCAGGGGCTGGAGCGGTTGGGGCGGGGGCAGCTCACCAGCTCACCTGGAGTGATGGACTCCACCAGCAAAGCCACCGCTGCTGGGAAGCAGATGATGGTGGCCAGGTTGGCCACATGCAGCAGCAGCCCCACCTGCTCTGTCAGGGCACCCTGGGGAGGGGCAGAGCACTCAGCCAGGACCCACCAAGGAGAGCCTGCCTCCAGCAAACTCAGCTTCAAGCAATTATGGCACTTACCACTGCCAGGCGCTTCTCAATCTGGAATGCAGCCACAGCAAAGATGTTGGCCACTGAGGACAGAGATACCCATGAGGAAGGTTCAGGCCAGGCCAGCCTGGTGCCCACCCAGGGCCCTTCTCTGAGCCCGGCTCACCAATAACCAGGCATGGAGCAGGCCAGTTGTAGGGGTCCTTTAGAAACAGAGACACCACCTGGATGGGGTCCACCAGGATGCCGTACCTAGAAGTGGGGTGGTGGAGGCCTGAGTGGTGGAGGCCTGGTCATTCTGTAGGTGGGGAAGGGAGGGGCCTAACATGTTTACTCACTTGATAAGGTTCTCCAAAAACAACCGTGCATTGCTCAGGATCTGCAAGAGACAGAAGGCTCGGCCCTGTGATGCTGGCCACTCTTACAGATCAGCATCTCCCAGCTCTCTTACATCTCTGAAGCACAAACTGTAGGCCTGGGGAGCAGCCTCAGCTTTAAAGACTCAGCCACACTATTATTTTTTTCCCCTGGTCATGAGGCCTGAACTCTGGGCCTGGGCGCTGTCCCTCAGCTCTTCAGCTCAAGGCGAGCGCTCTACCACTTGAGCCACAGTACCACTTCCCACTTTTTCTGTTTATGTGGTGCTGAGGAATCGAACCCAGGGCCGCATGCATGCCAGGCAAGCACTCTACCACTGAGCCACCTTCCCAGGCCCAGCCACACTATTCTTTAACAGCAAGCCCTGAGACTCACCACCTACCTGACCACACACCAGAATAAAGACAAAAGAAAAGTCTCTCATTGCCTTCTGTGCAGAAGAGACTCTTCCTGCTAGCAGACTCCTCCCAAGTGCCACACCTTCAGTAGCAGACAAGCTCCCTGTGCAGCCACCCTGGTCTCTAGCAGTACTGTGTTCAGCCTCCCATTACCAGTGATGACAAAGCCCCCATACCACAAGGGGGAAGTCTGTCAAAGCTGAGCTCCAGGTCAGTCCCTACTGGAGGGCCAGGCTGAGGAGAGAGAGCTGCCCATCCTAGTCCTCCAGCCAGGACAGCTGCTATGGAGCCCAGCTTTAGGGGCAGCCTGAAGACACCACCAAAGTGGTCAAGGATGAGGTACTCTGTCCCAGTTGCTCTAACAACACTCCAGTCCCCAGCAGCTGGGTCCTGATGTCACCAACTTAGGCTACCTCCCCAGGCTCAGGTCCTGTGATACAGAAAGGAAACATGGGCAAAGGAACATGTTTAAAGCTGGGCGCCAGTGGCTCACGCCTATAGTCCTAGCTACTCAGGAGGCTGAGATCTGAGGATCGAGGTTCAAAGCCAGCCCCGGCAGGAACATGTTTAGGCCTCTCGCCTGGGTGTTCTCACAGAAGGCTTCACGGAGGATGTAAAAAGCCTAGAGATGAGGGCTAGGAAGGTGGCTTAGTGGTAAAGTGCCTGCCTAGCATGCATGAAGCCCTGGGTTCAATTCCTTAGCACCACATACACAGAAAAGGCTCTAAGTGGTGCTGTGGCTCAAGTGGCAGAGCTCTAGCCTTGAGCAAAAGAAGCTCTAAGACAGTGCCCGGGCCCTGAGTTCAAGCCCCAGGACTGGCAAAAAAAAAAAGCCTAGAGACATAAGGGCTGCTGCCTGCCCACCTCCGCCCGCCCAGCCCAACATGAGACCCTACAATATCACTCAGCAGAGAGGCCTCTCCTGAAAGCCTGTAACAGGCAAATGGGAGCTAAGGTGCACAATCCCCTCTACAGAGTGGACATAGGGAAAAGGCTGCAAGGAAACACTGTACAGGCTGAGGACCTTCCTTACCCAGAAGCCTCTTTTTCAGATCAGACTGGGCCAAAAATGAGACAGCTCATCTCCCGTGGAGCCAGGCTGGACTTGGGCCCAGCGCTCCCTGCACAGCTGGCTGAGACTGAGGCGTCCCCAGGGCAAGGAGGCCCAGAGCCTCGGGCCCTTCCTGAGATGCAGCTGTGTGGTGCACACAGAACCCTTCAACCCTGGCGGCCAGAGGAGGCACACTCAAAGCAGAAACAGACACTTGTGAGTAGGTTCAAAGGCCTCAGACCACATCAGCCTGAGGAGCAGACTGGGCACAAGTTGCCCCTTGCCCTGCCCTTCAGGCTGCCCTTTGAGCCTCCAACTCCACTGCTCCAAGGGTGGGGCTTCTGTCACACCCCCACAACCTGTGTGCGTGCGTGCGAGCGTGCGAGCAGGCCCCCGAGGCCGAAGGCCTTGAACATGGTGCGGGGCTGCCCAGGGGGACCCATGGCTGAGAGATGGGCCAAGAGGCCACCCGTGGCCAGGCCTTCTGGAGGCTCCACGCCTGTAAGGCCACATGGCACCCGATCCCTCAAGACTTCTTTCACATTTTGCCGGGGGAGTTGTGTGACCACAAAATGCCGCCTCCTCCTCCCAGCTCAGGTGTGGGACAAGAAGGTGACTATTGGTTCTCCCTCTGCCTTCCCATGCCAGCCAGGGTACTATTCAACCTCCCACTATCCACGGGGCTCTCCCGGAATTCAATCTAATTCCCTATGGCTTGCCAGGGACCGCCTCGTCTCCTTCTACCAGCCAGGGCTGGCAGCCCCTGGGGACTAAAGCAATCAGACACAGACCCCAGATCACCCACACAACAGAGACTACACCACGTGGAAGAGTCTAACACGCCTGCTGAGGCTGGCCTGCCCCACACCCCGCCCTACTCACCAGCATCACCACACACCAATTCAGGATGCCACGGTAGTTGCTGAAGCCACTATCTGAGCTGAACAAGGAATCCTGCAGGCGATGGCATCTGGCAAAGAAAGTACAGGCCCTACCTGTGGGCAGGTGCTACAAGGCCGCCACCATCCGCGCGGCCTCTTCTGTCCACACACCGCTCATTCCCTATCTGTAAGTGGAGAAGGGGCCAACCAGGCAGGGTCCTGCAAGCAGCCACGCAGCTACAGTGGGCGAAGTTCCCAGACCCCCAGGCCTCGATGAACCCTCTCAAGAAGCAGGAGGAGCCAGGCATCGGTGGCTCACGCCTGCCATCCTAGCTACTCAGGAGCTGAGATCTGAGGACCGCAGTTAGAAGCCAGCCCAGACAGAAAAGTCTGAGACTTAAGACTGTGTGGGGAGGGGGAGTCCTGGGGTTTAAGATGTTGTGTGTATGCTGGGGAGAAGGGGGAGCTAGGGTTTGAACTCAGGGCCTGGTGCTATCCCTGGGCTTTTCTTTCTTTCTTTCTTTCTTCCTTCTTTTCTTTTCTTTTTCTTTTTGTCAGTCATGAGACCTCTGGGCCTGGGCACTGTCCCTCAGCTCTTCAGCTCAAGGCTAAAGCTCTACCCCTTGAGCCATAGCACCACTTCCAGCTTTTTCTGCTTATGTGGTGCTGAGGAACCAAACCCAGGGCGTCAAGCATATAAAGCAAGCAGTCTACCACTGAGCCACCTTCCCAGCCCTCCCTGGGCTTTTTGTGCCCAAAGCTAGTACTCTACAAAAGCTAATACTCTACCACTTGAGCCACAGCTCTGCTTCTATTTTTTGTGTGGGCGTTTTTTTTGGGGGGGAGAGGGTTGTTTAATTGGAAATTACAGTCTCACAGATTTTCCTGCTAGCTCCAACCACAATCCTCAGATTTCAGCCTCCCCGATAGCTAGGGTTATAGGCATGAGCCACTGAGCCCAGCAGCGGAGAAGACTTTCATCTCCAATTAACCATCAAATAGCCAAAAGTATCCAGGTGCTGGTTATCCACACACACACACACACACACACACACACACACACACACTCTTGTGGTTCAAGTGGTAAAGCCCTAGTCTTGAGTATGAAAAGCTCAGGGACAGCACCAAGGCCCTAAGTCCATGCCGCAGTACACACACAGAAAAGAGAAAAGAAGGGCTGGGAAGGTGGCTCAGTGGTAGAGCGCTTGCCTTGCATGCCTGAGGCCCTGGGTTCGATTCCTCAGCACCACATAAGCAAAAAGAAAAAAGCCGGAAGTGGCGCTGTGGCTCAAGTGGTAGAGCGCTAGCCTTGAGCTGAAGAGCTGAGGGACAGCGCCCAGGCCGAGAGTTCAGGCCCCACGACCAGACCAAAAAAAAAAAGTGTGTGTGTGTATAAAATCTCAGGAGTAGTTGTCCAGGCCTATATAGGGCTCAGGCATTTTAAGCCAGGAAACTGGCTCACCAGAAGACCCAGACTATAACCAGGCTCTTAGGCCACTGATCTGAGGATCTGTGAAATCTACGGGCCTACCTGGCATTACTGGGCAAAGGGTGAGGAATGGAGTCCACACTGTTCCTCTGGCCCACACTATCACCCATGGTAGTGCCCGGGGGCCTCCACCACAGCCAAAACCCCTTCTCCTCACACACAGCCACACAGGCACCAGGTCCAAGGCCAGCCAGGTACCCAACCCAACAGGCACCTTTCTGAGTCAATGGCCTGGCTCTTGTAAGTTCCAAGTTACTGCTTGGGCTGAGGCTGCGGAGTGAAAACATTCAACAAGACCAGGCACCTGATATTAGGGAGGCCCTCTCTTGTGGGAAACTCCCAGATAGTTCTGGGGTTAGGGACATCCAGTGAGAGCCTGCCAATCCCGGGAAGGGACCGCTGTATGGCTGGACAAGGCCCAGCCCAGGCAGAAACAACAGGAACAAGACCAAAGCCCAAATCCCAGGAAGCCGCCCCTGGCTCACTCATACCAGCTGAGCCGCACCTTTCCCTCTGGCTGCTGTGCCACCAGGAAGCCCCACAAAAGAAGCAGGAGGAGGAGGAGGAGGAGGAAGAGGAGGGGGGAGGGGGAGGGAGAGGGACAAGAAGAAGAAGGAGGAGGAGGAAAGAAGAAAAGGAAATTGAGCAAGGTCTTGGTTTTGCAAGAGGAGAGGCAAATGTCTCCTCTTCCTTCTCACCACACACATGCCTGCCTTGAGACCTCTGAGCAGGAGAAACGCCTGGGCTGCTGCAGCTACAGATGCCCTCTTAGGAAGACCTCACCTCAGTGCCACAGGGCAAGCCTGGCTCTGGTTGGGCCAGGGGACGGGCCAAGAAAGCTGAGAGGCAATGCCAACAGGCCCACCCTTTGCCCCCCAGACCCAGGTCTGCTTTGTGCCTAGTCCATCACATTAGCTTCCAGTAGCCCTAGGCTGACCATGCCCTCCTTAGTGGTCATGTCAGACAGCAATCCAGCCTTTAGCCTCTGTCTTTGTCCAAACCCTCCCACCCACCCAAATGTAGGCCTGGCCTTCCTGTATCTGTCCAACAGGCCCATCGAGAGTTCTACCTGACCCCTTTTTCTCCCCATGTCTGCATTTGACTTTCAAAGCACTGATACACTTGAGGCAACATTTCACCAGCTCAGCTCGCTGCCTGCATCTCCAACCGGCTAGGTGTGAGTTTCCCCAGAGTCGCAGCACCAGGAGGCCGTCAGGAGGCTGCTTCTCTCGGCCTCCCTGCCATACCACTTCACCCCTCTCAACTGAAGCTTGCTTTCTTTCACCTGCACTATCTGAAGCCTCACACCACCACCAGTGTTTCACAATAATATGACCTCCCTCCCCTTGGACCTTGGTGCCACCAAGGGACCCCTGCTGCTCTAGCTCTGGCTGTCTCCAAGAGGAGGACAGAAGTGGGGAAAGGGTCTTGGGTTCCAAAGCTGACAGCAGATGTCAGAGGAGCTTTGTCCATGTCCCTTCCATTGGGCTCTCAAGATCTTCCCCAACTGCTCGTACTGGGACACTCCCCCCTGGCCCATGACACTCCTCCCCAACCAGATGGGGGCTATCTACCAATGCCCACAGAGGAGCTTAGCACACCACAGGGACTGGAGGACAAGCCACAGATGTGAGCAGGGAGAGAGAAGCAGCCCAGGCTGTCGCCCTCTCACCTACCGAGGCCCTACCACGGCCTGCATCTCTGGCTCCCTGGGGCCAAGAAGCTGTGGAGCAGCCCTCCTCCTTCCTTCCCACAGCCAACCCTCACAGAACGGGAGGGAGTGCTCCTCACCTCTCCTGTGGGCAGGGCAGGAACCTGGCCATCTCACACCCCACACCCCCAGGTCTGCGCTGCACCCAGACGCTGTCTCCAGTGTGGACCTCCTCCTAGGACCACATGGTCCAGGGCAAGGAGGGGCGCAGAGATGAGACTTCTACCCTCCGGGCAACTGCTCCCTGGCACTCCTCCAGGCCATCCTCAACTAGGCCCTGGGGTACAAGATGACTGGGGCAGGCTCCCCAAACTTCCCGGGCCAAACAGAGAGCCCAGGCAGCAGGGTGGGCACCTTTCCTCCCAGCCTCACCTTGCCAAGGGCAGAAGTGAGCTCACCCCCAGAGCCTGGCCACCTGCTCAGCCCACGGTGAGCAAGAAGTGGTGTGGAGGGGAGGAGGCAGGAGTTGGCAAAATCAGGAGGAAGGCTGGCCTGGGCCAAGAGCGGCAACAAGCAGGGAAGAGGAGCGGCCGGCAAGGAGTGACAATGGAGTGAGCTACACACAGGCCAAGCCCCAAAGCACCCAGAGAGCCTGGCCTGCCAGCACTGAGGCCCGGGGGCCTGCACCCAGGGTGGAGGCAGGAGCACGGGCCTGCAAGTCCCGGAGACAGGTGGAGAGGCTGGAGCAGCCTCGCTGGCATGTCCTCACTTCCAGAGGGGAGGGCATCAGTCTGACGAGCTGAGTGCAGCCCAGGGAGACAGCAACTCCAGCAGAGGACTCTCCCCCTCCCTCCCAGCTCTGCAAAGACCTCACACCATCAGGGACACAGAAAAGGCGCACTCACCAATGTGATGTAGGTAACACTGCCCTCCCCTGCCTATCCCAGGTGGTACGGTTGAGGCCTCTTTCCCACTCTCATACAAAAGGACCCCAATTCCCACCCTCTCCAAAGTCCAGCTAAGCATCCCCCTGGCCTTGTAGAGAGGGGCGAACTCCCTCAGCACCACCCCAGACCTCAGGAGGACCTCCCCCATCCACCAGTGACTTCAGGGAGTCTGTACCCGACCTTTGTCCATGCCCAGCCACACCTGCCTCACACTGGGGTTTATCTTATCTCCCCAGTGAACTGTGAGCAGCCCAAAAGGCAGCCTTTGAGCCCCCCTCCCCACAGGACACCCACAGACTCCCCCTGCCTACTTCCTTTTCGCTCCTCAGCTTCTCTCTAAGCCAGTCACATAGGCCAGGATTAACCCCGGAAAAGGTTTGAGTGGCCTGGGGGCCAGCTTGGAGCAGGCAGCAGTGTCCAGGTCGGCCACCTCCTCCGGGCCGGGCAGGGTGTAGTCCCAATCGCTCCGTCCTCTCCTTCAGAGCAGCAGGTCCCTTCCTGTGGACACCCCCATCGCCTCTTCCTGCACTCTAACCAGGGAATCCAAGTCTCCACACCGGGTACAGCTCTGCGCCTACAGTGAGCACTTTCTAGTGACACAGAGGGCCCTCCTGACCGCTAATGAAGAATAGATAAGACATGCAGGCCCGCGTGGGAGGGTCTGCAAGGAAAGAAACCCTTCTGCACGGCCCCCTGGCCCAGGGCAGAGCGAGAGGCTGGGGGCCGGCTCCAGGCTGCGCACCTGGGGAGCCAGCCCGACCTCACGCGCTCCCTCCCGCCGACCCGCGTCCAGCCGGGCCCGCCCAGGAGGCTCGGGGGTCC